CTGGCTGTAATTCTTCCAAGACAGATTTGTTCATTCTTCTGGCAGTCCAATGTATATTCAATATTGTTCACCAACACCATAATTCAAAGGCATCAATTCTTCAGTCTTCTTTATTCATTGTCCAGCTTTCGCATGCACATGAGGCAAGTGAAAATACCATGGCTTGGCTCATGTGCACCTTAGTCCTTGAAGTAACATCTTTCCTTTTTAACACTTTTGCAGCAGATTTGCCCATTGCAATGTGTCATTTGATTTCTTGACTGCTGCTTCCATGGGTGTTGATTTTAGGATTCAAGCAAAATGAACTTCTTAACAACTTCAATCTTTTCTCCGTTTATCATGATGTTGTTTATTGATCCAGTTGTGAAGATGTTTTCTTTATGATAAGGTGTAATCCACAGTGAAGGCTTCATCAATAAATGTTCAAGTCCTCTTCACTTTCAGCAAGCGTGTCAACTGCATATTACAGGCTGTTAATGAGTCTTCCTCCAATCCTGATGCCACATTCTTCGCTTCTCAGAATATTTGCTCAGAATACAGATTGAATAAGTATGGTGAAAGGATGTACCCCAGACGCACACATTTCCTCATTTTAAACCACACAGTATCTCCTTGTTCTGTTTGAATGATTGCCTCTTGATCTATGTACAGGTTCAGCGTGAGCACAATTAAGTGTTCTGGGATTCTTATTCTTCATAATGTTATCCATAATTTGTCATGATCCACAAAGTCAAATGCCTTTGCACAGTCCATAAAACATAGGGAAACAGTTTCCTGGCATTCTCTGCTATCAGCCAAGATCCATCTGACATCAGCAATGCTATCCCTCGTTCCACATCCTCTTCTGAATCTGGCTTGAATTTCTGGTAGTTTCCGGTCGATATACTGCTGCAACAGCTTTTGAATAATCATCAGCAAAATTTTACTTGCGTGTGATATTAATGATACTGTTCGATAATTTCCACATTCTGTTGAATCACCTTTCTTTGGATTGAGCATAAATATGAATCTCTTCCAGTTGGTTGGCCAGGTAGCTGTCTTCCAAATTTCTTGGTGTAGATGAGTGATGCTTCCAGCCCTGCATCTTTTGTTGAAACATCTCGGTTGGTATTCCATCAATCCCTGGAGCCTTGTTTTTTGTCAATGCCTTCAGTGCAGCTTGGATTTCTTCCTTCAGTACCATCAATTCTTGATCACATGCTACCTCCTGAAATGGTTGAACGTCAACCAGTTCTTTTTGATACAGTGACCTTGTACACTCCTTCCACGTTTTTTTTATTCTTCTTGTGTCATTTAATATTCTCCCCATAGAATCCTTCAATATTGAAACTTGAGGCTTGAATTTTCTCTTTCGTTCTTTCAGCTTGAAAAATGACAAGCATGTTCTTCTCTTTTGGTTTTCTGACTGTAGGTCTTTGAGCATTCATTATAATACTTTGTCTTCCTGAGCTGCCTTTTGAAATCTTCTATTCAGTTCTTTTACTTTATCACTTCTTCCTTTCATTTTAGCTACTCTGTGTTCAAGGACAAGTTTCATAGTCTCTTCTGACATATGTTTTGGTCTTTTCTTTCTTGTCTTTTTAATTACCTCTTGCTTTCTTCATGTATGATGTCCTTGATACCATTCCACAGCTCATCTGGTTCAGTCATTAGTGTTCAATGCATCGAAGCTATTCCTGAGATGGTCTCTAAATTCAGGTGGGATATACTCAAGGTCATACTTTGGCTCTCGTGGACTTGTTCTAATTTTCTTCAGCTTCAGCTTGTACTTGCATAGGAGCAATTGATGGTGTATTCCACAGTCAGCCCCTGGCCTTCTTCTAACTGATGATACTAAGCTTTTCTATTGTCTCTTTCCACAGCTGTAGTCAATTTGATTCCTATGTATTCCATCTGGTGAGGTCCATGTGTATAGTCGCCATTGATGTTGGTGAAAAAAGGTATTGGCGATGAAGTCATTGGTCTTGCAGAATTCTATCATGCAATCTCAGTGTTGTTTCTATCACCAAGGCCATATTTTCCAACTACCGATCCTTCTCCTTTGTTTCCAACCTTTGCATTCCAATCACCAGTAATTATCAATGCATCCTGATTGCATGTTTGATCAACTTCAGACTGCAGAAGTTGGTAAAAATCTTCAATTTCTTCATCTTTGGCCTTCGTGGTTGGTGTGTAAATTTGAATAATAGTCATATTAACTGATCTTCCTTGTAGAGGTATGGATATTATCCTATCACTGATAGCACTGTATTTCAGAATTGATCTTGAAATGTTCTTTTTGATGATGAACATGATGCCATTCCTCTTCAATTTGTGATTCCCAGCATAGTAGTTCCTATGATTGTCTGATTCAAAATGGCCAATACCAGTCCATTTCAGCTCACTAATGCCTAGTATATTGGTCTTTATGCAGTCCATTTCATTTTTGACAACTTCCAGTTTTCCTAGATTCATACTTTGTACATTCCAAGTTCCAATTATTAGTGGATGTTTGCAGCTATTTCTTCTCATTTTAAGTCATGCCACTTCAGCTAATATAGGTCCCAAAAGCTTGACTCCATTGTTGTCATTAAGGTTGCCTCTAATTTTAGGAGGCAGTCGTATTTTGAGTGCCTTCCAACCAGAGGGGCTCATCTTCTGGCACTATACCAGACAATGTTCCACTGCTATTCATAAGGTTTTCACTGGCTATTTCTTTCAGAAGTAGACCACCAAGTCCTTCTTCCTAGTCTTTCTTAGTCTGGAAGCTCAACTGAAACCTGTCCACCATGGGTGTTTCCACTGGTATTTGAAATACCGGTGGCATAGCTTCCAGCATCACAGCCACATACAAGCCACCACAGTGTGACAAACTGACAGACGTGTGGGGATGGTAAAGTAGAGGGTCAGTGAAAATGAGGGAAACCTTCAATGAGATGGATTGACACAAAGGCCCAACAGTGGGCTCAAACATATCAAAGATCATGTTGACGTCACAAGACCAGGCACTGTTTCATTTTGTTATACATAAAGTCGCCATGAGTTGGAGCCAACTGGATAGCAACTAACAACAGTTACTATGTACAAAGCATTATGTCATGATCTGTGAAGATTAAAAAAACATCTAATAGGGGAGACATACATTTATAAATAACAGAATCAAAAAAGGAGGAATTGGGAAAGTATAAACATTTTATTCAGAATAAGTGTTAAAAGCATTTTTATTGTTTTTAATTTAGCATTTTTATTATACCATATATAATATACATGTTATTTTCTTTGATTATTAATTTGATATTTTTAGCAGCTTGGAAGGAATTGAAATTTCAAATATCCAACAAAGGATGTTTAGACCTCTTAGGAATCTCTCCCACATGTAAGTAGATGTTTTTCTAGTTCTTCACCTTGATTTTAACGTTTTATGTATCTACATGTATTACTATAACCCAGCACATCTAATCTATTAATATATTCTGACTAATTGCCTAAACAATAATTAACTTTTTTACCTTTGATATTGCAACAGGGTGATTTTTAGTTTTCCACAGTTTAACAGAATCTCATAGGGGACTTTTTTTAATCTGAGGAAACGTGCGTATGGAGGGACCCCACCTCAGTTCTGTAAGAAGTTCTCCTCAGCTCTGATACCAGATATCGCTGTTTGCCTAGGAAGCTAGCAGTTTGCACACATAGTATAAGTTCTACTGGACAAAGGAGTAGAAATTTATATAAACAACATGAAATAATTATAAATAAATAGTTGATGTAAATGAAGGAAAGCAGGGAGAAATCCTCCTCAGGGAAAAATTCCCCCAATTTCTATCAGGTGTCTGATCAAGTGCACATGAAAAAATGGTAAACTTTGAAAATTCTCTTATCCAAAAAAATGTGTCTGGTTGTACCATTGTACATGCTTTAGAAACATTTTCTTTAATAGAATGCAATCTTATAGCAGGCACTAGAAAGATCCCAACGCCATGGTAATTAATATTCAATAATTTAGAAAGTGTTATGTCAGCCATCAACTCTACCATATTGCTTATTTTTTAAGGCTAACACAGGACACTCCATTTTTGTTTTCCATAACTCCTCAGAGTGAAGGCTTATAAAAGGTTCCTTGGTTGCACACCACATAAAACACTCTGGCTAAATTAAACAAAATGGAATTTATTGGAAGAATACAGTATAGCTCCCAAAATCAAAAAAAACAGCTAAAGGAACAGACTGGATTGGGGCAGAAAACATGGACCTAGGAAGCAAGGATTTAAGGATCCAGGCTCTGCTGGAATCCATTCAAGTGTCATTCAATAAGAGGCAGAGTTCCAGGAGAGAGTCTAACTGATCTTGCTTAGGCCACTGTGGTTAAGGGGATGCTTCCACTGAAGGTCTCATCATGATTTCTCACAAGATGGAGAAGTAATTCCCTTACAGGAAATGAGTACGCTATTACCAAAAGAGTGTCTGGATGCTAGGCAGCCAAACTAACAAACAAATACCTATTACAATTCTGTTGGTGAAAGCAGAACTTCAGCTTAACACAAATGAAACAGTGAAATGGCAATCACCGCCCCTTTCTTCCTCATGTCTTACTCTCCTCTGCTTCAGTAGCTCACAGAGAAAATGGTGGGCAGATAGGGATAGAACAGGATGGAAATATCTGCAATTGAACTTGAATTTAAAAGGACCACATACTGTAATCATCAGGCTTTTATCTTTTATTACTATAGCTCTTAGTACTATAAAGATCTTTTATCTTCTTTACCAGAGCACATGGCTTTAGAGACAAATAGATCTAATTTGAATTCCATTTCTACATTACTAGAAAATTTCCTACCAAATAATTTAACTTCACTGAAATTTCATATCCTTATATGGTGATACTAATACCTACCTCGTGGAGTTGTGAGAATTTATTCCTGATACCTAGAAGATGCTCAATAAATGTTGTGAATATTAGTAGTAATTATTGATTATCCAACCAGTGTCTTTATTAACAGGGGAGGTCTCTCTATTGATGAAAGAATTCACTCAGTAAATACTTATTGAATACATACCGTACCAAAATCTAGTGTAAGAAATAGGCATGTTAGCAAGTAGTGACAGATAACATGTTGTTAGTTACATTGAGCCGACTCTGACTCATGGAGACCCCATGTACAACAGGACAAAACGTTGCCCAGTCCTGCACCATCTTCACAATAGTTGGTGTGTTCAAATCCATTGTTATGGCCTCTGTGTATTACGGGTGTTTTCCAACATAGGCGGCTCAGCTTTCAGCACCATATCAGGCAGTATTCTTTTGTGATCCATAGGGTTTTCACTGGCTAATTTTCAGAAGTAGATCACAAGGCCTTTCTTCCTAGTCTGTCTTAAGTCTGCAAGCTCCATTAAAATCTGTCCACCATGGGTGACCCTGCTGGTATTTGACATACAGGCGGCATAGCTTCCAAAATCATAGCAACATGTAAGCCACGACAGTGTGGCCAATGGACAGATGAGTGGTGGACAGATTACACAATAAATTCTGTAATAAAGAAGCCGTGGAAGCACGAGAGGAGAAAGCATTTAACTCTATCTTCTCCTGAGGTGTAAAAAGCAAAATCAGTTGCAACAATGACAGAGCTATGTAACAGTTGCATTTACATGTATTAAACACTAAAAACCCAATATAAGTTCCCTTGGATAGATTAATTATTTTGAACATATCCTAACAGTTTAGATTCCAAGACATGTCTAACAGTTGTATATTCATTATGCCAGCTTCCACCTACACATTCTTTTACAATAAAATCATGTCAATAAGAAGTAAACTTAAGTTTAAAGCTTTACTGTTTGTCATGGATTGAACTGTGCCCCCAAAAGATATGTGTCAGCTTGGCCAGGCCATGGTTCCCAGTATTGTGTGATTGTCCACCATTTTGTCATTTGATGTGATTTTCTTATGTGTTGTAAATCCTGCCTCTGTGATGTTAATGAGGCAGGACTCAATCTATAACATAAGGTTCTGTTTTAAGCCAATCTCTTTTGAGATATAAAAGAGAGAAGCAAGCAGAGAGACAGGGGTATCTCATACCATCAAGAAAGCAGCACCAGGAGCAGAGTGCGTCCTTTGGACCCAGGGTCCCTGTGCCTGAGAAGCTCCTCGACTGGGGAAGACTGATGACAAGGACCCCCTTCTCCCAGAGCCAACAGAGACAGAAAGCCTTCCCCTGGAGCTGGCACATTGAATTCAGACTTGTAGCCTCCTAGACTGTGAGAGAATAAACTTCTCTTTGTTAAAGCCATTCACTTGTGGTATTTCTGTTATAGCATCCCTAGAAGACACTATTCCTAATGTTTTACATTCCTCCATGTCGCAAATTAATACATTTTCTCTCTACAGAGAAAAATGTAGGGAAATAAATTAATGTATTGAAGTAAAATAAAAATCTGATTTTGCCTTCTCTTTGTACACCAGATATTTTAAGAAATTCCAGTACTGTGGATATGCACCTCACGTTCGCAGCTGTAAACCAAACACCGATGGGATTTCATCTGTAGAGAATCTCTTGGCAAGCATTATTCAGAGAATATTTGTCTGGGTTGTATCGGCAGTGACATGCTTTGGAAACATCTTTGTTATTTGTATGCGACCTTATATCAGGTCTGAAAATAAGCTGCACGCCATGTCAATCATTTCTCTCTGCTGTGAGTATCTCCTGGTAGAAGAGGAATTATAGTTTTAAAATATACAAAAGCATTTGCTGTTAGAAAATAAGTAAACTGATTGGGAGAATTATGAGATTTAACATTTTTCTCCTTGTGTCATTTCCACATTTTCTACAATGAAAACAGAATTGCTTTAGGAAAGAAAACAAGTTTTTAAAACCAGTCAATTCAACCACGTTACACAGAACAAATGAAGCTCTTCTTCATTGGTTTTTCTCTCATACAGTAGCCCTGAAGGCATATTTTACTAAAGCACTTACAGTTTTTTATTTAAAATAAAATTGCAGCCATCTGTGGTCAAATGTTAACATCAAGACTATCTACTTTTTGGCTTGTATTGCCTGGTTCATAGGTATTGAGTTAATAGCTAGTTAGTTGTTTTTCTGATCTCTGAGCTACTAGCATCTTTTGGATTCATTATCTGAAAGCTTTAAATAGGAAAAAAATGTTTTCGGTGGTATTTTTTAAGTTTTTGAAATATGATTGCAAAATACTGTGTTAAATAAGAACTACAAAGAAAAATAAGCAAGAAACCAGTCCACAAAGAGTTTATAGTCTGGGTCAAGTGACCAAAAATTTATCCATATTTCCTCAAGCAAGTAAAATACCAATCAATCCCCCCATGTTCACTTTTGTTATGGGTGCTGTCCCATGCACTCCCTCATCCTTACTCGAAGTCTACCATCTAATGGTTCTTTTTCATTGCAAGCTACATAAGAAACAGAACTCAGAAATCATTTACTATTTTATATTGTTATCTACCAAATTTTGAGTAATCTCAATTTCTCTGGTGACAGCTAGAATGTAACTTTAGTGTTTAGCAATCAAGAACAGCCTTATGATTTATATGGTGATGCACTTTTAGGGACTTCAGGGTAGGATGCTTGTGCAGTGAAAAAATCCCACCCACCTTCTGATAGGTAATGATTGCTTAAAAAGCAAATACCCCACATAGTGTATCGCATTGAGAGCTGATTCTTTGGGGTGGAAGAGCCTAAAAATGTGGAAAGAAAGAAGAGTGGGAAGCTATGGAATCATAGAGAGCAGCTCTGGGTAAATAATTTTATCCCCCCACAATTCTACTGACTGCAAATCACTTCATAATTACTCACGTCTTCCAAATTATAGACTTCAAAAGCCAGAGTCATTGCTCTATCATAGCAACTTCTGAATTACTTTTTCAGGAATTTGGATGATGTCCTTAACTTGTTAAACTGGGAGAATTTCAGTGGAAGAGCTGAACCAGATAATGACATCTCCATGTAGGCTCCTAACTGAACACTCAACATAATTGCATTTTTTAAATTATTCAACACTTCTAAGTGATAGGACTAAAACAGAAAATGAAACAGACAAGATCCCTGCTCTCAGAGACCTGCATTTGAGAGGAAAACAGGCATTAAACAATGTATTATGTAATTAACTGTAGAGAATAATATAAAAGTGGTTATCAAACAGAATTCATCAAGAGCTTCTCACCCATAAACAAATTCTTAGGAGTATAAAATTTACCCTTCTCCCAGAATAGAACAAACTTGGCTATTTTTTACTAAAATTAAAAATATTAATGCTTGTTGTTAATTCCATTGTACCTATTTATTTCTCTAAATTTGTGAAACTTACTGATCCCCGTAGGTGCTGACTGCTTAATGGGAATCTATTTATTTGTGATTGGAGCCTTCGACCTAAAGTTTCGTGGAGAATACAATAAGCATGCACAGCTGTGGATGGAGAGCGTTCATTGCCAGCTTGTGGGATCTTTGGCCATTCTGTCCACAGAAGTATCCGTTTTACTTTTAACTTTTCTGACATTGGAAAAATATATTTGCATTGTATATCCTTTTAGATGTTTAAGACCTGGAAAATGCAGAACAATTACGGTTCTGATTCTCATTTGGACTACTGGATTTATAGTGGCTTTCGTTCCATTGAGCAATAAGGAATTTTTCAGAAACTACTATGGCACCAATGGAGTGTGTTTTCCTCTTCATTCAGAAGATACAGAAAGTACTGGAGCCCAGATTTATTCAGTGGCAATTTTTCTTGGTAAGAAATCCTATATTAAAAATCCTTTCATTCAAATGGTGCAAAAATAGGAATGTGAAACTCACACTTTCTAATATTTATGAATTTTTATTTCAGATCTTTTAACCGGTTTTTCTCAGTGAAGGTGGGGGTGGATTCTCTTAGAATCCCCTAGAGGGATTTTTTTTTCCAGGTTATTCCTTTATCATATAAATTTCAACATGATGCAGCTTAATAAGACAATAAACTCTTGCATTTCATGAATTTGCCCTCAATACTATGCCTTTTTGGCTCTTTGCCTTTATTATTTGAACTTAATAGTATTTGTTATATTTTCATATGCAAAATAGCCAAACAAAGTAGCAAAGAAAGTAAACATAGAGTGTTTTGTACCAGCAATGTAAAAATATTCCCAAACTACAGCATAAAATAATTGATAGGAAAGAAATACTAGAAAGTTTAACAGGCCGAGGATTTTCATTGCATCACTATAATTTCATTTTAATATGCCATTTCAGAATTAAACATTTCATCATTCCTAACAACAGTACTTCAATGCAAAGAAATTTTATGATTTCTGTGCAACCTTAATAACCCTTTATAAAGAACAACAAACTCGTGTTATGGCCTATCTTCTTTTTTTAATAACACCTAAGAATATTTTTTGAAAAAATGTTTATACACATTAATATTCTTTGTGTTCTACATAGGTATTAACCTGGCAGCATTTATCATCATAGTTTTTTCCTATGGAAGCATGTTTTACAGCGTTCATCAAAGTGCCATCACAGCAACCGAGATACGGAATCAAGTTAACAAAGAGATGATGCTCGCCAAGCGGTTTTTCTTTATTGTATTTACTGATGCATTATGCTGGATACCCATTTTTATACTGAAATTTCTTTCACTGCTTCAAGTAGAAATACCAGGTACAACTCTTTTTTTCTTTCTGGAGAGAAATAAGTCCATTGATGGGATGTTCCTCTAAGCAAGAAAGTTAAGATCCTGAACGCTGACTCATGTCAGAGTCGTATGTAATTCAGGCTCTGTTCAGGAATGAAATGTTTACTGTGAGGGAGCTGTTCCGTTCTTTTCATAAATTCCTGATAACACAATTAGAACAGAGGAAAGTGACCCAAGTAAATTGCACGCGAAGTGTTGAAACTCTTATACATCCCTACTAGAGATGACCAGGAAGGAAACCAGGCCAAAACGATTATAAAATAATTCATTTTGTTTCAGAATGTTAGAGATGAATTTTTGTAGGAGTTTAGTTTCTTTTTTTTTTTTAAATTAATAAACTATTTTTTAGGGAAGCTTTAAGTTTACAGAAAAAGTGCACAGAAAGTACAGAGCTCCCATATAGCCACCTCTCCTCTCCACATACAGTTTCCTCTATTATTGACATCTTGCATTAATGTGGTACATGTGTTACCACTGATTAACCAACACGGACACGTTATTATTAAGGTCCATAGTGTACATTAGGGTTCACCCTTTGTGTTGTAAAGTTCTATAGGTTTTAACAAATGCAAAAATACATATTTTTTTTGTATTCTTAACAAATGGAAAAGAATATAAATCATACCAAGTGTGCTCTTAGACAACAATGGTATTAAAATAGAAATCAGTACCATAAAAATAGCTAGAAAACCACAAAATATTTGGAAATTAAACAACAAATTTCTAAATAACGTGGGTTAAAGAAATCTCAAAAGATATTTTAAAATATTTTTAACTAAATGCAAATGAAAATACAACTTATCAAAAAATGTAGGGTAGAGCAAAAACAGTGCTTAGAGGGAAATTTATAGCATTAAATGCATGCATTAGAAAATAAGGAAGACAGAGGGTGACCCAAGATGGTGGACTAGTCAGACACACTAAGCCATCCTGCTGCATCAAAGACCCATAAAAACCAAGTAAAATAGATCCAGATGTCAATCCTGGAAGCCTGAACCTTAAATGAAGGCATAAACTATTACATCAGAAGCCACTGAGGATAAGAAGAAACTGATAGAAAACGATGAAGGAGTAGAGATACAGAGTGGAAGTTCCTAGCCAAATGGCATGGCACAGCATGGTCATCTCTGAATAAATCCAACAACCCTGCACACAGAAAGTCACCTCCATGGAATTCCCAATAGGAGATAGAGGTATGGTGCGGACACACCCAAGGCTAAGTAAGACCACACTTGCTGGCTGCAACTCAAAGAGGAGCCCAGATTCTCTCATCTAGTAACCACAGGAGCACATTCCTACAACCTTTATCCTTCTGGTAAGTAGCAGCAAGAACTGTCCCATCCTGGCAGCCCTGACTGACAGAAGCCACAGTACTAACCCAACCTATTGCCCTCCTCCATCTAGTCCCCTTGGCCCCTGCCTTCTCCCCCTCTCCTGCCTCTCTCCTCAGCCATGCCAGCCAGACCCCACACACCTCCCTACCAGCCCATCCCCAACATTGCCACACTACACGGCCCCGAGGAGAAGCAGCACAGACCCCAGATCCCCTGCCTGCCAGCTCAGGCCCCACCCCACCGCGCTATGTGGCACTGAAGAGAACCGGCCCCATTCCAGCCCCTGGCTCCAGCCCGGTTCACTTTATAGACAAACAACCTATCTCCACCCCTTCCCCCCTCCCCAGTGGACCTGCCCTATTACACCATAGCTGAGCAACTGGTACTACACACCCAGATAAGGTGGTGAGAACTATTGTGCCTATAGACAAGCAAGCAAGAAAGCATACACAGCCCGCCTGCCCAAATGTAACCAAACAAAACAAAAAGCAGGACTAAACGAACAAACCTACAATCAATAAACAAAGAAAATAATACCTGAATGTTCAGAGACAGCAGACAATATCACAACATAAAAAAAAGCACAAGATGGCTCCAGTAAGTGATCAAAATAAAGCACCAGATGACCTTCTGGCAGAAGAAAAGGCACTGAACTATCTCATAGGGAATTCAAAAGCCTAATATTCAGTGCTCTTCAAAAGATTAGGAAACAGATCAAGGAAAATACAGACAAAATCATGGAAAACATAGACAAAACCAGCCAAAACGTAGCTAATTAAGGAAAACACAAAGCAATAGAAGAAATCTGGAAAATAATACAAGGACACAATGTCAAAATAAATAAACAATTAGAAATCATACAAAAACAGCAATTAGAAATCCAAAGGTAAACAACAAAATTTCAGAAATGGACAATGCAATAGAAGGTTTTAGGAACAAATTTGAAACAGTGAAAGAGAGAATCATTGAACTTGAAGACAAATTCATGGATAACGCTTTGTTTGAGGAAAAATCAGAGAAAAGAATGAAGAAAACCTGAGAGCGATCTTGGATACAATTAAGAGCAAAAATTTGCATGCAATTGAAGTTCTAGAACAGGGGAGAAAACAGAAAACACAGACAGGATCACTGAAGATTTGCTGACAGAAAACTTTCCTAATATCATGAAAGATTAAAAGCTGACCACCCAAGAAGCTTAACGAACCCATATTGGATAGACCCCAAAAGAAAGTCACCAAGACATATCATAATCACACTCACCAAAATAAAAGACAAAGAAAGAATCTGAGAGCAGCTTGAGAAAAAGGAAAAGTCACATACAAAGGGGAAACAATAAGACTAACCTCTGATTACTCGGCAGAAATCATGCAGGCAAGAAGGCAATGGGATGATATATAAAAATCTTGAAAGAAAAAATTGCCAACCAATAATAATATATCCTGCAAAGTCTCTCTGAAATATGGTGGCAAAATTAGGACATTTCCAGATAAACAGAAATTAAGGGAATTTATAAATACCAAACCAAACTTACAAGATTTATTAAAGGGAGTCCTTCCGTTAAAGAATAAACAACATCAGACAACAACCTGAATCTAGGACACAGGTCAGCATCAGCCAAATACCAACTTAGGTAATTAACTCTCAAGGATAAAACAAAACTAAAAGATTCAAGATCGGGAACTAGAGACATCAATCTATAAATGACGACAGCATCAGAACAATAAAAGGGGAAATCCACAGTGTAAGTATAGAACTTTCAAATGGAGAGGAAGTCAAGCCAATGTCAAATAATAAAATACTGGTTCAAACTTAGGAAGATAAGGGTAAATTTCAAGGCAAACACAAAGAAAGTTAACAAACCTCCTCATCAAAGTAAAGAAGAAAAACATAAAGTCTCAGTAAACACAAAATCTACAATAACAAAAGACATGAAAAAGAAATTCCACAAACAAAAAGGAACTCAGCACGAGTAAGAATAATGAAGAAAACCTCAGCACCACAAAAGAAAAAGCACTACAAAATGACAGCATTAATCTCACACCTATCTGCAATCACACTGAATGTAACTGGCTTAAATGCACCCATAAATACACAGAATGACAGAATGGACTAAAAAACATGACTCATCCAATAGATAAGTGATAACTTTGGTGAAGGGTAAGACAGTACACAATACTAAGGAAGTCAGCACAACTTGACCAAGGCAAAGTCATACAAGCTTCATAAACACATACATCCAAACACCTTGAGGGACAGAGTTACTGTGGCTGAGAGCTGGGTACCATGGTCTCAGGAGACATCTAGCTCAATTGGCATAACATAGTCTATAAAGAAAATGTTCTAAATTTGAAAGTGTGATGAGTAGCATCTGGGCTCTTAAAAGCTTGTGAGCGACCACCTAAGATATTCTACTGGTCCCACCCTGTCTAGAGCAAGGGAGAATGAACAAAACCAAAGACACAAGGGAAATATTAGTCCAAAGGACTAATTAGTCCACAGCCTCCACCAGACTGAGTCTAGCACAACTAGATGGTGCCTGGCTATCACCATCAACTGTGCTGGCAGGGATCACAATAGTGGGTGCAGACAGAGCTGGAGAAAAACGTAGAACAAAATTCTAACTCAGAAAAAAAGACCAGACTTGCTGGTCTGACAGAGACTAGAGAAACCCCAAGAATATGGTCCCTGGATACCCTTTTAACTCAGCACTGAAGTCACTCCTGAGGTTCACCTTTCAGCCAAATATTATACAGGCCTATAAAACAAACAATAATATACATAGTTCAATCATGTATATGAGACTAAATGGGCACACAAGCTGAGGGGCAAGGATGAGGAGGCAGAAGGGGACAGGAAAGCTGGAAAAATGGAAATGGGGAGCCCAAGGTCCAGAAAGGAAGAGTGTTGCCATGTCACAGGGTTTGCAACTAATGTCACAAAATTATATGTGTATTCATTGTTTATTGAGAAGCTAATTTTTTCTGTAAACCTTCACCTAAAGCACAATAATAAAAAAAAAAAATGACCCATCAATATGCTGTGTACAAGGACACATTTTAGATACAAAGATATAAATATATTAAAAATCACAGGATGGAAAAAAAAGCAAGCAAAGAGCAAACAAAAAAGAGCAGGAGTGGCAACACTAATGTCAGATAAAATAGACTTTAAGGCAAAATCCACCATAAAAGACAAAGCAATTACATAATGATTAAAGGAACAATCCAACATGATGACATGACAATAATAAATATCTACACACCCAACAACAGGGCTCCAAAATACATGAACTCTAACAGCACTGAAAAGAGAAATTGACAGTGCCACAATAATAGTAGGAGGCTTCAGCACACCACTTTCAGTAAAGCACAGAGCATCTAGAAAGAAACTCAGCAAAGATACAGAAGATTTAAAGAACAGTCAACCATATTGACCTCATAGACATATATAGAACACGCCACCCAACAGCAACAAATTATACATTCTTTTCCAATGCACGTGGAACATTCTCCAGAACAGACCACATCTTAGGCCACAAAGTAACCCTGAACACAATCCAAAACACTGAGATAACACGAAGCATCTTCTCTTATCACAACGCCATAATGGTAGAAATAAATAACAAGAAAAGCAAGGAAAAAAATAAAAAACATGGAAACTGAATAACATCTTCCTTAAAAACAACTGGATAATAGAATGAATCAAAGATGGAACCAAAAAATTTCTAGAATTAAATGAAAACACCATACCAAAACTTTTGGGACACAGCAAAGGCAGTGCTCAGAGGTCAATTTATAGCAATAAACACACACATCCAAAAAGAAAAATGAGCCAAAATCAAAATGTTAGCCCTAAAATGCAAACAAATAGAAAGAGAACAGCAAGAGAAGCCTTCAGCCACCAGAAGAAAGGACGTAATAAAGATCAAAGCAGAAATAAATGAAAAAAAATCAAAACCAAAAGCTGGATCTTTGAAAGGATTGACAATCCACTGGCCAAACTGACAAAAGAAAAACAGGAGGGGAAGTAAATAACTCAAATAAGAAATAAAATGGGGGACATCACAACAGACCCAACTGAAATAAAATGGATCATAACAGAGTACTATGAAAAACTACACTCCAACAAATTTGAAAACCTAGAGGAAATAGAAAAATTTCTAGAAACACATCATCTATCTAAACTATCACAAACTGAGGTTGAAAATCTGAACAGATGCATAACAAGAGAAGAGATTGAAAAGGTAATAAAAAAAAAAAAAACTCCCAACAAAAAAAAAAACCCTGGCCCAAGTGGCTTCACTGGAGAATTCTACCAAACATTCAGAGAAGAGCTTGCACCAGTACGACTCAAACTATTTCAGAACATAGAAAAGCAATGAATACTTCAGAATTCATTCTATGAAGCCACAATAACCCTGATACCAAAACCAGCCCAAAAGCAAAGACAAGAAGACAGGGAGGGACAGGAAAACTGGACAAATGGAAATAAAGAACCCGGGTGGAGAAGGGGAGAGTGTTGTCACATCACGGGTTTGGCAACCAATGTCACAGAAGAAATTGTGTATTAATTGTTTAATGAGAAACTAATTTGCTCTGTAAACTTTCTCATCTAAAGCACAATAAAAAGAAAATAAAGATATAAAATCAACAGCCTAAGCTTGCATCTTAGGAAACTAGAAAAAGAAGAGCAAATTCAATCCAAAGTAATCAGAAGAAAAGAAATAATAAAAATTAGAGCAAAAATCATTGAAAATGAGAATAGAAAATTAATAGAGAAAATCAACAAAACCAAAAGCTGGTTCTTTGAAAAGATCAATAAAATTGATAAACCTCTAGCCAGCTAACCAATAAAAAAAGAGAGAAGACGCAAATTATTAATATCATAAATAAAATAGAGGGGCATCATATTCAACCCACGGATATTAAAAGGATAGTAAAGACATATTATGAACAACTTCATGCCCACAAATTTGATAAACTACAAGAAATTGACCAATTCTTTAAAAGGTAAAATCTACCGAAACTCACACAAAGAAAAACATATTATCTAAATAGGGCTATATCTATTAAAGAAATTGAATCAATAATTAATAACCTTCCAAAACAGAAAGCACGAGGCCCAGATGGATTCACTGGTGAATTCTACCAAACATTTAAAAAATAAATGATACCAATTCTCTATAATCTGTCTCATAAATAGGAGCAAAGGGATGCCTTCTAACTCATTCTATGATACCAGCATTACCCTAATACCAAAACCAGACAAAGACATTACAAGAAAGGAAAATTACAGACCAATATATCATGAACATAGATGGAATATCCTCAACATAATATTAGCAAATTGAATTAAAAAAAAAAAACTTTGCTGTCGAGTCAATTCTGACTCATGGCAACCCCATGTGTTACACAGTAGTGAATTATTCATCACAACTAAGTAGGATTTATTCTACATATGCAAGGTTCAACATTTGACAATCAACTAATATAATCCATCTCATCAACAGGCTAAGGAAAAAAATCATATGGTCATATCAATACATGCACAAAAAGCATTTGACAAAATCTAACAGCCATTTATGATAAAAAGACAGCAAACTAGGAATAGAAGGAGACTTCCTCAACCTGATAAAGAACACCTACCAAAAACCTACAGCTAACATCATACTTAATGGTGAGAAACTAGATGCTTTCTCTCTAAGATCGGGAACAAGGCAAGGATGTCCCCTTTCACCACTCCAATTCAACATTGTACTGGAAGTCCTAGCTAATGCAATAAGACAAGAAAAATGAAAGAAAAGGTATACAGATTGGAAAAAAAGAAATAAAACTGTCTTTGTCCATGGATGACATAATTGTCTATGTAGAAAATTCTGAAGACTCAGCAAAAAGAAACTTCTGGAAATAATAAGCAATTACAGTAAGGTTGCAGGATACAAGGTTAATCTATGAAAGTAAATTACTTTTCTATATACCAGCAATACACAATTGGAATTTGAAACCAAAACACAGCATCATTTACATTAACCAAACCCAAACCCACTGCCGTTGAGTTGATTCTGACTCCTAGTGACCCTATAGGACAGAGTAGAACTGCCTCATAGGGTTTCCAAGGAGCAGCTGGTGGATTCCAACTGCTGACTTTTTGATTAGCACCCGAGCTCTTAACCGCTGTGCCAACCCCCCTAAAAAAATGACGTACTTAGGTATAAATTTAACAAAATATGCACAAGATCTATATGAGGAACTAGAACACTGATGAAAGAAATCAGATCTAAATAAATGGAGAAATATTCCATGCACACAAATGTTTATAACAGCTATATTCACAATTGCCAAAACTTGGAAGCAACCAAGATGTCTTTCTGTAGTGAATGGATAAACAAACGGAGGTACATCCATACAATGGAATATTACTCAGCAATAAAAACAAATTAGATATCAAGCCACGAAAAGTCGTGGAGGAAACTTAAACACATATTGCTAACTGAAAGAAGTCAGTCTGAAAAGACTACATACTGTATAATTCCAACTATGCGACATTCTAAAAAAGGCAGAACTATAGAGAGAATAAAAAGATCTGTCGTTGTCAAGGGGCTTGGGATGGGGGAGTGTGGAGGGAGAAAAGGAGGGATGAATAGGTGGAGTACAAGAGATTTTTATGGTGGTGAATAGAGCCTGTCTGATACCGTAATGGTGGATACGTGACATCATGCCTTGGAGATTTACTTTATTGTCTTTCGTGTGTGTGTGTATGTGTGCACGCTTAGACACTCATTGCAGTAACTAGATTTCTTCCTGGAATACATATCAATTTAGGGAGCATTACCCTAGAGTGTAAAAGATCACGGAAGAAAACAGTCTTGGTATTTAAAAATAATGTGCAGATCTCCTGCTACCTTCATTTGTAATACAGTATATATTCACATTGTAAAATTTATAAACACATGATCGTTTTTATCCCATGGTTGTTGGTGGTAGTATCTTACATTTTATGAGCAACAAGAAATAAAATATCACCAATCAAATTCTAATAAAAATCCAAGTATTTGGTAGTTGCACATATACTACAATGATTTTTGAGGTAGGGTTGGCTGAAGATGTTTTGCTGAAATAAATGTCTGGTCAAAAGCCTAAAAATGCCATAACTATTTTTCAAATAAAATAAATAGCAGAAAAGAAATCTATTAAGGATAAGTGCACGTATTCTGAGAAACACTATATGTGCTATCTAGTAATCATACTAGAATTTGAAAAAGGTGTGATTTGAATACTAAACAATATTGTTTTTCATAAAATGGAATCATGTTATAATAATATGTAATTACTTTGAGGAAAATATTTCTACCTAATGGTATACTCTTGTTGATATATTCAAGAAAAGTTACCTAGCAAAGAAGCCTGTTCTTTTGCAACACCACCACGCCCCTCAAACACTGGGACTCTGGAAAGACATTGTGGAAACACATACAGACTTGGTATTTAATTATGTGACATCAAAGGAAAAAAAAAAAAAAAAACAAGACTTTAAAGGACTACAGGGGAAAAAACAAGGAAAAGGATTTTCTAGACCTCATAAACTAGGACATATACAAATGTTAAAACTATTTCATTTTTCTCTTTCAGGTACCATAAACTCTTGGGTAGTGATTTTTATTCTGCCTATCAACAGTGCTTTGAATCCAATTCTCTATACTCTGACCACAAGACCGTTCAAAGAAACGGTCCTTCAGGTTTGGGATAACTACAGACAAAGGAGGTCTATTAACAGCAGAGACAGTCAGAAAACATATGCTCCATCGTTTATCTGGGTGGAAATGTGGCCCCTGCAAGAGATACCATCTGAGTTAATGAAGCCAGCTCTTTTCACAGACCCCAGTGAAATGTCACTGATTTCTCAATCAGCTAGACTCAATTCCTATTCATAAAGGACTCTGAAAGCCATCTCTTCACAGAATACTGGGGGGGGAGGGGGGGTTTCATCATGGATTTACTGGTATGAAATGAATATCACAAAATCAACAGTTTATAATAATAACCAGGATAAATTAGTTTACAAGGACACAAGGTTGTTATTTGGGAAAAAATAAAAGTAACTGATGCCCATGTCAAGGGAATAAAATTATATTGATAATGTGTATATACCAGTACATATTTTGCTAGGAAATGAAGAGAAATGTACTTCTGAAAAAGTCATTCATTCTTTTAGCACACATTTACTGTGCACCCACTATGTGTATGCACTCAGTAATATCCTGGAAGTAGACAGTACAGAACCTTTTCAATTTGCAAAGTAAAATTGTGTTTAATTACAACAGAATATACAAATTCCATCTACAGCTCCTAGTATTAGGTAGAGCTTTGTGTGCCATACATAGCAGCAAACATAAGAATCATAGGCATTTTTAAATAAAGGCTTTTTAAATATACATATTGAATACTCAATTTAATAACATCAGAGAAAATGTATGATTGTTTGCAAAATACAAAAATTGTTTTAAGAAACCATCTCATCTCCTCGAGTCTCCATACACTGGAGAACCAATACAACATATTTATTACTGTTAAAAAAACGATGCTTTGATATGAATTCAAAACAGCATTTCTACGTCACTTCCTGTCCAGTTGTCTTTCTGCTTTAAGTGAGCACCATCATATGGGATTGCAATAGGAAAGCACAAGCATTGCAACTGAGTGAATCAAAACAGCCAGAATGAGGATCGATAGATACATAGATCAATGGAATATAACTGAGAGTCTGAAATAAAACCTGACATTTACAGTCAATTGATTTTTGACAAGGGTCCCAAGATAATTAAATGGGGGAAGAAACAGCTTTTACAACAAATGGATATTCACATGCAAAAGTATGAAGTTTGACCCCTACCTCATACTATATACAAAAATTAAACCAAAATGGGTCAAAGACCTAAATGTATAAACTAAAACTATAAAATTCTTAGGAGAAAACATAGGAGTAAATCTCTGTAACCTTGAATTAGGCAACAGATTCTTCCATATGACGCCAAAAGCACAAACAACAAAAGAAAAACAGGCAAACTGGACAACATCAAATTTAAAAATTTGGGCTTCAAAGGACATCATCAACAAAATGAAGACAATGCACAGAAAGGGAGAAAGTTTTGTAAATCACATATTTGATAAAAGATGTGTATCTAGTATATATAAAGACCTTTATACCTAATAGTAAAAACACAAGTCACCAAATTTCAAAACGGGCAAAGATCTGAACATTTCTCCAAAGAAGATATACAAATTGGCCAATAAGCATGTGAAAAGGTGCTCAACATCATTAGTGATAATGGAAGTGCAAATCATAACCAGACAGAGATACCACTCATATCCACTAGTATAACTATAATAAAAAGACAGATAATACCAAAATGTGGCCTTGAAGTGGAAAAATTGGAACCTTTATACACCGTTGGTGAAAGTGTAAAATGGCACAGCCATTTTGGAAAACAATCTGACAGTTCTTCAAAAGGTTCGAGTTAACATATGACCTAAAAAAATCCCAAACCAAACCAGTTGCACTTGAGTCGATTCCAAGTCATGGTGACCCCAGGTATTTCAGAGTAAAACTTCACTCGGTAACATTTAACAGCGGCGACGTTCAGAATTAGATTGCCAGGCCTTTCTTCGGAGGCCCCTTGGGTGGATTCAAACTACTAACTAAAAGGTAGCACTTAACTGTTTGCACCATTCACGGACTCCTAACATATGACCTATTACTAGATATACACCTAAGAGAAATGAAAACATAGGTCCACACAAAAACTTCTAAAAGAATATTCACAGTAGCATTATTCAAAATTGCCTAAAAGTAGAAACAACCAAATGTGTTTAATAAAATGTGGTATATCTATCTATACAATGAAATATTATTTATCCGTAAAAATGAATGAAGTATTGATACACGCTGCAACATGGATGAACCTTATGAGTCCATTCATATAATATAGCCAAAATAGGCAAATCCACAGAGACAGTAGGGTAGTGGACAGGGAAGAAGGGCACTAGGCGGGGAAAGGTGACTAAGAGGTGTTCAGGGTATCTTCCTGGGCTAATGAAAATGTTCTAAAATTGATTGTGGTGATGGATAAACAACTAAAAGTTGTTTATACTAAAAGCCCTTGAACTGTACGGTGTAAAAGGGTAAACTGTATAGCATTATATCTCAATTACCTATCTTAATAAAGCTGTTTAAACAAAAGCAAGGCTAGAATGCAGTGATTCAGGAACTTTACTTCAGGAATGAAAGGTTCACGTGTACATGTTTCTCTCTAAGGAAAAAACAGTCGTCAACAAAAGATAGATTTACCTCCCGTTTACACCATCAGTTCATGAGATACTGCTTTTAGCTAGTCGGTCTGGTCTCGAACTGAGCTACTGGAATTGTTTGCATTCATAACTTAAAACCTTTAGATAGGAATAAAATGTTTCAGGTAGCTTTAAGTACACCCAAGATTTCTGAAACATGAAAATACTGGAATCAAAAACAAAATGCATTTATTGACTATATAATTGTAAAAACTTTATTTGAAAATAAATTATTTGAAACTTTAAGTCTATTGAAAACATGGATTCCTTAGAGTCTTTTTTGTTATTTGGAATGACCCCCATAATAAGTTTTCCATGAAGAAGGTGGTACACTTTAAATAAAAATCAGAAAAGAATATAGTTCTGCTTACAATATTCAATGCTATAACTACTTAGGAGCCCTGGTGGTGCAGTGGTTATGAGCTCAGCTGCTAACCAAAAGGTCAGCAGTTTGAATCCACCAGTTGCTCCTGGAAACCCTATGGGGCAGTTCTACTCTGTCCTATAGGGTCACTAGGAGTCAGAATCTACTGGAAGGCAAAGGGTTTAACTACTTAAAACCATATCAAACAGCAACCTCCTGTGTTACAGAGTAGCACTGCTCTATAGGGTTGCGTTGGCTGTAATCTTTATGGAAGCAGATTACCAAGTCATTCTTCCACAGAGCCCTTGGGTGGGTTCAAACTGCTGACCTTTAGGTTGGTGGTTAGCAGTCCCGCACAAACCATTTGCACCACCCAGAGATCTAATGTATTACAATATATTTATACAACTAAATGTATAACTACGTAGACTATAATATAACTACTTAGACTATAATATAATAAAGAAGTCTGCTGAAGCAGTCTGGCTTCAGTCCTGGGAGCCGGGCAACGAACATGGAGGGCAGCGGCTGAGACAGAGAGGCACAGGCGCAGTGGTGCAGCCGGCAGATGGCAGCGATGGCTGCGGGGCGGCTAACCATCAAACCATCCAGCCGAGGATAGTGACCTTGACTTTCCTTCTTGAAAGGCCACATCTCTGCTACCCTCCCTGAGCACGGCACCCACTCTGGCCAGGAGCCCCTTGGGTCACCCACTGGCATAGATCAGGGGTACAACACTTCTTTGCTGAAGGATCTAGTTGTCCTTCCTCCAAGCTTGGTGGGGGTGGGGAGGTTGCTCAGGGGCGGCCTGGAGGAGGCGCCCTGAACAGAAAGAACAGTGAGGAACTCGGCCAGGAACCACGGACAGAGGGGCACCGGCAAAAGGCACAGGCAAAGGCCGCAGGCTGGGGCTGCTGGAGAAATGTTTCCCGAACTAGGTGTCGGCTCTCATCTTCGTGATTTTGCCACATCCAGTACTCTGGGGCTTATTTGCTTAATATTTTCTTTAGATTCACTCACTTCTTAAAACTCAAAACTATTTTAAAAGAACCTTTTGGTTATTCACTTGCCAAAGTCAAGATCTGAGAAACAAATTCGGTTAAACCAAACGAACAAAAAGTCTACCAGAAACGAAGAGAATACATGTATTGACAGCAATGGGTTTGGGTGTTTTGGTTTTATTATCAAGAAGTCTTATTACTGATATTAAATAATATAATAATAAAATATTTTTCTTATAAGCAATATCTACAAAGAATAAAAGCAGTAATCATGATGAAGGGATAGATAAATTGTAATCCTGCAAAAATCATGATCCTAACTCAGGAGCTGGGAAGACAGACCTGGTAAACTGCTTCTGAAAGGCCAGCCTTGAAAAACCTATGGAGCAGTTCTACGCTGCATCCCTGAGGTTGCTATGAGTCAGAATGGACTCCACACCAACCAACAACAACCTGTGTTTAAGGGTCTTAGAAATGTAATTTTTAAAATATACATCCGAAACTCTCTTTTAGTATTTAAAATATGTATTATTTTAAAAATACTTTCTGGAAGCCATTAAGCTTCCTGTCTACTCCTTCCACTCACTCTTTCATCCTCCAACTCCCAAATACAGTAATTCTATTTAATTTGATAAATAATTGCTGACTTAAGATGAGCCTAGCTCTTACCAGCTTGAATAGAAGAGGCAATAGAAGCACTAAGTTGACAAAATATAAATCAAAGTTTTCTCTTAAGAGTATAAAATTTTTCTTGGGATCATCTAGCTCAATTGGCATAACATAGGTTATAAAGAAAATGTTCTACATCCTACTTTGGTGAGTAGCGTCTGGGGTCTTAAAAGCTTGTGAGCACTATTATAAGAACTTAAGAAAAGGTTTAAACACAGAAGATAACATTCTTTGATGGTTACAAGGGTGGGGAGGGAGGGAGAGGGTTATTCACTAACTAGATAGTAGACAAGAATTATCTTAGGGGAAGGGAAGGACAACATACACTACAGGGGAAGTCAGCACAACTGTACTAAACCAAAAGCTAAGAAGTTTCCTGAATACAACCAAACACTTCCAGGGACAGAGTAGCACAGGCGGGGATCTGAGGACCATGCTTTCAGGGGACTTCTAGGTCAACTGGCATAACAAACTTTATTAAGAAAATGTTCTGCATCCTACTTTGGTGAGTGGCGCCTGGGGTCTTAAAAGCTTGCAAGCGGCCATCTAAGATGCATCAATTGGTTCCAACCCACCTGCAGTAAAGAAGAATGAAGAACACCAAAGTCACAAGGAAAGGATTAGCCCAAGAGACAGAAAGGGCCACAAAAAGCGGAGACTGCATCCACCTGAGACCAGAAGAACAAGATGGTGCCCAGATACCAATGACCACCCTGACAGGGAACACAACAGAGAGTCCCTGATGGAGCAGGAGAAAAGTGGGGTGCAGAACTCAAATTCTGGTAAAAAAAGACCAGACTTAATGGTCTGACTGAGACTGGAGGAACCCCAGAAAGCATGGCCCCTGGACTCTCTGTCAACCTACAACTAAAACTATTCCTGAAGCCAACTCTTCAGACAAAGATTAGACTGGATTATGGGACATAAAATGATACTTGTGAAGAGTGGTCTTCTTAGCTCAAGTAGATACATGAGACTAAATGCGCAGCTCCTGTCCGGAGGCAAGATGAGAAGACAGAGGGTCAGGAGCTGGTTGAATGGACACAGGAAATCAGGGGTGGAAAGGAGTGTGCTGTCACAGTATAGAGAGAGTAATTAGGGTCACATAACAATGTATGTATAAATTTTTGTATGAGAGACTAACCTGAATTGTAAACTTCCACTTAAAGTACAACAATAAAATAAAAAAGCTTGTGAGCAGCTATCTTAAGATACTCCACGGGTCTCACTCCATTGGGTGCAGCGGAGAATGAAGAAAACCAAACACACAAGGCAAAGATTAGTCCAAAGGACTAATGGACCACAACTACCACAGCCTCCACCAGACTGAGTCCAGCACAACTAGATGATGCCCAGCTACCACCACTGACTGCTCTGACAGGGATCATAATTGAACGTCCTGGACAGAGCTGGAGTAAAATGTAGAACAAAATTCTAACTCACAAAAAAAAGACCAGACTTACTGGCCTGACAGAGACTGGAGAAACCCAGAGACTATGGCTCCCGGACACCCTTGTAGCTCAGTACTGAAGTCACTCCTGAGGTTCACATTTCAGCCAAAGATTAGACAGGCCCATAAAACAAAATGAGGCTAAACGGGCACACCAGCCCAGGAGCAAGGATGAGAAGGCAAGAGGGGACAGGAAAGCTGGTAATAA